ATTTAAATTGAATTCACTTGTCTGTTGGCAAGTGCTGCCCTTAGGACAATGTGCATAAAAATCACCTGGGGAGAACGTTAAAATCATATTCCAAGGCCCCATCCCCAGGGATTCTGGTTTGTCAGATTTAAAGTGAGGCATAGAAATTTGTATTCTAAAGCCCTCCAGGTAATTCTGAGGCAGATGGTCCCTGGATCACACTTGGAGAAAAACTGACTTAGCAAGTCTGTGCATCAAATGAATGGTTTATTAGCATCTTAGTATAAAATAACATAAGACAAAAAGGAAATGTGCACAAAATTTAAAATATTAATACCTCATCCTCATCCTTTCAACAAATCAAAATACTGCCCCCCCCCAAAAAATACCACCCTGACACACACACAACAAAAATATCCAAACACCAAAAAGGAAAACACGTATGATCTGGGGCTCGCTCATGTAGACGCTTTCCATTCTTTATCATTATCAATGTGTTTTAAGGAATCTGCCCACATGTCATGCCATGACAAGTGTATAACAAGCTCTTTTCCATTGTCTGGTTCCAATCTACCTTTCCAACTAGGTCTTCCTTCACCCCTCAGTATCTGTGTGGAAATGAGCCTCATGTACTGGACCCCAGAATTAGGTCACCTGCCCACCCAGTCATGGCGGCACCAGCACAGGGCAAGGAAGAGCAGAAGAGGCTGCCTGCTCCCCGTAGAAACTTCACCCCCGAGAGGATGTGAGGAGTACAGACGGTAAGCCCTCCCTGACATGCCAATCGGGGAAGCCGCTCACTTCTCCTAGTGGGGAATGTGTCAGGGGCCGACAGAGACCAGGAGTGATCTGATAATGGAATATCCTTCACATAGAAAGAAACGTCAGGAATGGGGAGGAGCTTAAGCACTGCATCAAAGGCTGAGAGACACAGGAAAACAGGACGTAAATCTAGTTTTTGAAGATGTCACAGCCTGAGGGAGGAGACTGTCGGACAAACAGACGATTATATTATAAGAAGAATAAGCAGAGGATCATGCTAAACATTTTACATCTGTTATTCAATCCCCAACTTCCCGTTTTACAGATGAAGAACCTGGACCGAGTGAGGTCAGATAACGTGCCCAAGGATTCACACCCAGATCTGTGCCACTCAGAACCTTCTCTCTTAACTGTCTCACTTGGCTCTCTTTCTTGACCTCCAGAGCTGCAGCAAAACCTCTCTCTCCTACAAACCGCCATAACATCTACTTTTTCACACTCATTTGGTACTTTTTATTTATTCGCTCATGGAATCATTCGTTTTCTCTCCGTATGTAGTCCTATCATGACATGGTGTGGTTTGGACTGGACTGGATATCTCTCTTGTACTTTTTACTTTGAATTGCTCCCTGAGGGGACAGACCCATGAGGTGGAGGACCCGGCAGCAGAGTGGGTTCTTCCTCACAGCCCAGAGTGCCAAGCCTTAGATCTGTTCAATCCACAGACAATTCAGAAGTGAGACTCTCCTAAGATAAACTATTCAAAAAAATTAACAACATATTCAACTGAGCCTTCTTCATAAAATGCATATGCCCCAAAATAATATGAAGAGGTTTATTTAAAAGAAAAGAAAATCCAGATCCAAGTAGTTCTCTTCTATTTTGAATTGCCATTAAATCTTATTTTATGCACTTTCTTTTGTCTGCTTCCAAAACACAATAATTAAGACCATAAACTCTGGAGCAAGACCTGGTTTGAGTCTCTGCTCTATCCTTCATGACCTATACAAATTCAAGCTAAAAAAAATTTTTTTTGACTTCTTGGCGTCCTCATCTATAAAATGGGGTCTTTCATATACTTACCGTGAAAATTAAATGAAGATATTGACTGTAATAAATCACCGTAACAAGCCCTTAATTAGCTACTAGTATTTTATGACAGCATGACCAGACAAAGAGGATTCAGGTTTCCAGTCTGCAGCCCCACTTACTATTCTGGCAAGCTTTGACCTTTAACCTCACTCTTCAGGTGGGCTGTTTTGAGGGAAAGAAGTCACCTATGGCTCTTCGTACAAGGTGAGCTGAGAGAGAAGGATGCATAGCACGGCCCCCCCTCACAGGCCTGCCCCTGCCTTCAGGGGTCACACCGGCAGCCCCAGCAAATCCCCAGCCCTCAGCCTGACTCACGCGCGTCCGGCCGTGGCTGTGAAGCAGACACACGAATGTCCTGCATTCCAGAGGAAGTGCTACCCAGGACCGTTATCAGTGCTGACTTCTTGTTTACCCGTGAGGGAGCCCACGGAACTCTCTAAGGCGGTGCCAACCTCAGAAAGTGCCCAGTTTCTTCGGGGTGACAGAGACAGTGCCCCCTCCTCGCCGGGCAGTGTGCGTTATTCACACGGCCCTGGGCCCCCTCGTGCTCCTTCCCGCCCCCCATCCTCACCTGCAAGAGTGAACCCCCCACCCCACCCCCAGTTCCAATGTGTTGTTCTCCAGTTAGTGGCATTTATTTGAAATTCTAATTGTTGTTTTTCCTCACACTTTAATGGTTCTCTTTTCCGGGCCTTATATTTATAATTTACAGCTTCTGGCGGGAGCATTCCTAAAATTACTGACACAGGGGCCAGCAACCAACTTAGCATTGTTTGAGGATAGTTTCATTTTTTTATTACTGTAAGGAAAGGAATTATAATATCCTTAGTGGGGAAATAATTTAATGCTGGGAATACATGAAGTAATTTACTGATAAATTCTATTGAGAGATAGTCTTAAAATAAATGTCTTAACAAAACCACCAAAGCCACCTTAGGAGAAGTTTTTCAATTAATTTATTAAGGCCCCACGGTTATCATTTTAAGACAGGTTAAAAAATGTGCCAAAAAATGATTTTTAATAATAGAACCGACCCCATTTGGAGCAGTGAGTGGTTCTGCTTAACTGTGGAAAGAAAAAATACAAAAGCTCTGTCAGGCACAGTCTTTCTAAATTAAAAGGATTTAGGAAGCAGTAACTATAGATAATAAACAAAAAATATATTTTTTTTCATGAAAAAGCTAAAGGTTCTTATTCTAAACACAACGAATTTCTGTCTTTTGGGACAAAGAACAGGTTTTTCTTTTCTTGACAGTGATTGTTTTTCTTTCTGTTGTACGTTGTTATTGTTTGAATAAGACAGCTTGCATTTATTTATAGCTGGGTTCAGGAGATGCATGTATAAACACAATGCAGGACGCTTGGCATCCAGAAGGCAACACAGGAAAAGGTTCAGGACACTCTATGTCTCTAGCATCTTTCCCCTGTTGTGTGGGAACGGGCACCGCGAGGATGCGAGGATGCGAGGATGCGAGGATGCGAGGATGTGCTCTTGGCTAGCCTGGCAGCGCTTCACCTCAAAGAGCTCAGGCTCGGCAGGGTGGAATCAAGGCGAGAGGCGAGGCGGAGGAACAGGTTTTGCTTCCGCTTTGTGGATGCACAGAAGCCTTTGTTAAAAGACGAGCATCTTTGCAAACATCCTGAGAATGTGGCTGCTCGGCTAAGTTCTATGATTCAATACTTTTTTCCTAAAAAAGGGTGGAGGAGGTGTATTGCTCCAGAGCTTTGTGTAAAGTGTTCTTTTAACCCCAGGGGCTGTACTTCCCGCTTCTCGCTGCGCTGGGAGCCAGAACGGAAAGGAGAGAGCACCTAAACCGCTGGAAGTGCCCGGGAGGCCCCGGACTCCGGATAACACCCAGGACTTCTACAGGGCTTCGGGGGAAGATCTGAGAGGTCCCATTGCCGCTCTCAATGCCTTTCCTGACTTTGGCCATTTTCCAAAAAAGTTATTCCACTTTGTGTAAAAGCGAGTAATTATTATCGGGACTGGATACGATGGGTGTTCGGTCCAATTCAACTGTCCTCCTGGAGCGCCCCCTTCAGGCCGGGCGCGGTGGCGGCGGGAGGTGGGAACTGGGACATGCAAAGGTACGTTGGTCCCGGGTTCTGCCTTCAGGGGATCATAATCTATAATTTAAGGCAGCACAAGCATGTGAAGGGCAAGCTAGCAGTAACAGAAAGTCAGCCTCATTCCTACCACAGTCACCTCCTTAACGAAGAAGACACGCAATCGTGAGAGGAAGCGGCTCTTGAGCATCATCCTGGCCTCCACACGTTGGTGGCCTGTTACGCAGCTGCTGGTTTGCAGGAACCGCCTCGCTCCCCAGAGGGGAGCTGTCACAAATAGTGGGAAATCTCTGGCTTTCAGCCCAAGAGAATTTGCATGGCTAGCTGCATTAACAACCAAGCATTTCCGGCAGTTACCAACATTTCTGGGAATTTTCTGATCCAAAAGTTTGGGAGGCAGTTTCATTCTCCCACTTGTTACTCATGGTGTCTTTGAACTACATCATTTTGAAAAAATTCCCAGGCTATGTTGTTTCACAGAACAATGTAGGGTGCATTGGTCAAATACTGAAGCAAAGTTGTATAAAGGTATTTAAAGATGTTTCAGAAATAGAGCACATTTTTGGCTTGCTTGTAATTGATCTTCCCATGAAATGTACATATGTGTTCATCTCAACATCTGA